CTCCTGCCACCATTTCCCCTAGGCTCAGAACCCACTGATTTTCTTCCATTCTTCCAATCTGCCAAGCTTTTCCCAGCATCAGGACCTGTTTCCTTTACCTGAAACCCTCTTCCCCACACACTTCACCTGGCTAAGTTCTCCTTATCCTTCAAGTCTCAGCGGAAACATCACTCCCTCAGAGAGGCCTCCTTAATACACGAATTTAAATTAGGTCTCCCTATTATATGTTTGGAGCCCTGGTGGCCCAGTGGTTAACAGCTACAGCAAGCTACAGCTGCTTAACCAAAAGATTGGCAGTATGAATCCACCAGCTGCTTCTTGGAAACTCTATGGGGCGGTTCTACTCTGTCCTATAGGGTCGCTATCAGTTGGAATCAACTCGACGGCAGTGGGTTTGTTTTTTTTTTGTTTTTTTTAAATTATATGTTTACCCTGCACTATTCGGCCTTATAATAAATTGTAATTGCGTATGTGTGTGACCATTTGTTTAATATCTGTTTCCCCACCCAACCGTATGTGCTATGTTGTCTTGTTCTCTGTTCTATCTCTAGCTCCTGGTGTGTTGTAGATGCTGACTAACTGTAGGTTGATTGGCTGAATGAATGAATGGACAAAGTACAGTTTATATAGCAGGTACTTAATAAATCTTTGAACTTTCATTCAAGTTAACCCTGGAGTCCTGCTGTAGTGAAAGCACTCAGACCCGGGCTTCTGAGATAGGAACATGAGTTAGCAGAGATCACACCTAAATAGATACCAAGAAAAACTCTGCACATGTACGTTAGGAGACAGGAAAAAAATGTTCATAGAAGTTCTCTTCACAATAGCAAAAACCTAGAAACAACCCAAATGTCCAGTGACAGGAGAGTGGATGAATAACTGTGACAAAGCCACACAATGGAATATTATACAGCCCTCAAAATGAATGAACTGCAGCAATATGTGACAAAATAAATCTTAAAAATCCATTGCCCTTGAGTCGATTCTGACTCATAGCGATCCTATAGGACAGGGTAGAACTGCCCCATAGAGTTTTCAAGGAGTGACTGGTGGATTCAAACTGCCGACCTTTTGGTTAGCAGCCAAGTTCTTAACCACTATGCCACCAGAGCTCCAAAATAAATCTTAGTAATACAATATTAGTTGGAAATAATAAGTCCCCCCCAAATTACACACATCAGGATTCCATTATAATAAAATAAAAAAGAACTAAAAAAAAAAACAAAAAAAAACCTCCTAGTTCTAAATAAAATTTAAAATTTTAATCAAAAAAATAAAACTTTAGGAATACATAGAGCTGAGATTTATTGTTTTCATGCCATCGAGTCAAGTTTCATCCCAAAGTGATCCAATGACAGAGTAGAACTGCCCTTAGGATTTTCTAGGCTGTAATCTTTATAGGGGAGCCCTGGTGGCGCAGTGGTGAAGAGCTCGGCTGCTAACCAAAAGGTCGGCAGTTCGAATCCACCAGCCACTCCTTGGAAACCCTATGGGGCAGTTCTACTCTGTTCTACAGGGTCGCTATGAGTTAGAATCAACTCAGTGGCAACAGGTCTTACTCTTTACATGAGCAGATCGCCAGGTCTTTTCTCCTATGGAGCTGCTGGGTGGGTTCGAACCACCAACATTTCAGTTAGCAGTTGAGCATTTAAACATTGTGCCAGCAGGGCTCCTTAGAGCTGAGGTAAAACTAGATAAAAAGGAAAGCAAGGGAATGATGAATACCTTGGTAGAAGGATGGGATGGGTACAGACCACACAGCTAGATTTAAGTTATCACCAAGTCCTAGCTTTCATGTTTATTAGTTCTTACAACAGTATTATCAGAAAATAAATGTGTGCTGTGCATGGAGCAATAACGAAAGTGTATCATGAACCAAGATTATGATCAATCTAGTTGGGTGCACCTGACGTCCATTCAAAGAAAGGGACTCCTCCAGGCAGCCTACTTGTTTGGAAATGATGGAGAACAACCTCCTCTGGGACTTTATCCAGGGCTGTCCCTAGGTTGTTCTCCTGGAGAAGTGAGCTGGTGGCACAGAGGTGGGATGGGGGGAGGGTAGTCACCCAGTGTTTAGCTACCTTAGGAAAAGGGCCCCAGAATTGGTGCGAGCATGTGTAGTTTCCCATTCATTTGCTGTTCTGGCTGTCTTGGAAACATCAGGATGGAGCTGGGAGGACTGTGGTCACATGGGCAAGAGTTATCGTAAACATTCCAGGTCCTGGGAGCCAGGGTCAGCAGGGTAGAGCCAGCGTTTTTGAAATCCAGCTTGGAAATAGGGGGCTGCTGGTTCAGAACCTCTTTTTATACCTTCACTTCCTTTTAGCCTGGCCCAGAACATGTGTGGGCCACCCTCAGCACTTCCTGCCCTCATCTCCCTGCTGTAGCTCTTAACTTTATCCTTACTATCTCCTCTATTTCTACCAATTCCAAGATTGGTAGCCTCCAAGAAAAGGTCCTACTTTGTGAAAAAGGGATGGGGGAAGTCCCTGAGAGGGCAGCTTAGAGCTTTTCATCTTGAGGAAAGGAGCTTAAGGTCAGGTTGGACTGGGCTGGGCTGGCTGCATTGGGGTTCCTACTTTTGGGGAAGGGGTTATGTGTCAAGCTTGACTGGGCTAAGGGTATAAAATAAGGCACTGGAAGTTGTGCTGAACTAGACCGGGGCCCTAGGGAATGGGTTAGGGGTCAGGCTGGCTTGGAGTTCCTGGGGAAGGGGTTGGAGGGTTGGAGGTCAGGATGGATTGGGCTGGGCCAGGAAACATGAGGAAGGAGCTGGAGGTCCAGGGGAAGGGATGATTTTGGGCTGAGCTGAGGTCCTACTTTTGGGGAAGGTAGGACTGCATAAGGAGTCCTAGTGGCACAATGGTTGAGCGCTCAGCTGCTAACCAAAAGGTCAGCAGTTCGAACCCACCAGCCACTCCATGGGAGAAAAGACCTGGAGATATGTTCCCATAAAGATTACAGCCTGAGAAACTATACGGGGGCAATTCTACTCTGTCAAATAGGATCGCTATGAATTGCAATCAATTTGACAGCACACAACAACGGGAGTCCACAAGGCTCAAGAAGCCCCACAGTGTGTTGTGGAGGGCCCCATGCCTCTTCACTGAGGCCCTGGTTGAGACAAGTTTCTGCTGGGGGCTTGAGCTGGGATCACATCTGCACCTAGAAACAGGGCATTGGGGTCTTTGAGGGCCTCACCCTTTTTCCCACCCCAGCAGCCCCTCTTTACCCAGGGCCTTTCCCAGATACATTGCTGGAGGCAAATGGGGAGGAGCCAGTTCTGGGGCTCCAGAGGAAGTCCGTGGTCACCACATTTCCTGAGTTCAAATAGTGGGTTCCTCTGCCCAAGCAGCATGGGGAGTCTCTGGGTCCCCTAACTCTATCCCCCAAAACACACACACACAGGATATGAACCTGCAAATGCCCAACACAGCCACACAACTGCTGCCGCAGCAGCCCCATAACCTTCCACCAGTCCCACTGCCAAGCCACGCGCTTAACATTTGCGTACTTATAGCTTCCTACTCACGCCCAGCAGTCATACTTTGTTTAACACAGTCTGCTTTGTTCAACACAGTTCCCCCAGTGCCTAGAATTGTGGCTGGCACAAAGAGGGCTAGTTGAATATTAGCTGAATGAATTCACCAACAGACACATACCTAAACATATGTGTATACATGCCCACGTATGTACTCACATGTATATACTCCCTTACATACACATATCCATGACCTCTCCCAGCTCAGCAGTCACATCCATACATACATGCATACATACACACTGGCACACACTGAGGCACAAAGGCCAGACATACACCCAGAGCCAGACCCACTGCAGGTATTACCTGGCACTCACAGGGTGAGTCAGTGGCAGCAGTCGGCTGGTAAATGTCCTTTGGTCAGGCCAGGCCTGCAGAGGAGGAGTGGGGGATGTAAATGCAGGCCTTGTGGTCCTGAGGCACTGGGGCTAAGGAGCTGGGCTGGCAGTAGTAGGGCAGGGCCAAGGTAACTGCCTGGATCGGAGTGGGTAGGGTGGGCTGTGCGGTGCTTTCCTCCTGTTTCTTCCTGCTAGCAGGGGTAGGGGTAAGGGAGGATTTGATGGTCTGATGCCTCGGCTTCCCCTGCCTCGGACGAAAATGAGGGAGACTGGGGAAGAGGTTATGTGCGTGCTAAGACCCCATTTCCAACCCACAGCAGTCTTCCTGTCTTGCCAATCTTCTTAGATGATGGGGGAGTAACTACATGGAGAGGAGTCCAAAAAGTCTGCTATTCCTCCTCCTAGTAAGTGTTCTAGGAGCCCTGGTGGCACAATGGTTAAGCGCTCAGCTAATTGAAAGCTGGCAGTTTGAAAGCACCAGTGGCTTTGCAGGAGAAAGACCTGTCGATCTGCTCCCATAAATATTACAGCCTGGGAATACCCTATGGGACAGTTCTACTCTGTCATATAGCATCGCTCTAAGTCCACAGCACACAACAGTAATTGTTCTAGACTTCTATCTTTCCATGGAGCTTCAGGCTGCCTCCTAGCAACAGCCCTAGGCATTCCCTATCCTCCTCCCCTTAGTTCCCCCACCCAAACTCAGCAAGGAGACAATCTCCTACTGTCTTAATCCCCCACCCAGGGACTTTACCACCAGGGGGGACTAGTTCAGATAACTCAGCTGGGCAAGCAGGCAGGGGGCTGACTGGGGGTAGGTATTTCACGGACAGAAACAGGACTTGAGTCTCCCAGGCACTCTAACTGCCCCAAGCTCCTTCAACCCAAGCCTGTCCCAGACAACCCCTTCCCCAACCCGGCCCCAGAAACAACCTAATCTAGGGCTGTCTATCCTAGGAACCTGGCCTCAGGAAGGTCACCTCTAGCTGGTAGCCCCATGCCAGTTAGAAGTGACAAGGAACAGTCCCAGGGGGAGGATTCTAGTGAGGAAAAAAAAGCCAGCTTTCCAGGGAGATGGAGCCCTGGAATACCTGGAGGCAAACTTCAGGGTCTGGGGTGAAGGAGAGGTGTGAATCAGAGGAACAACAGCCGAAGAAAAGTGTGAGAAAATGAGACGGGAGTGAAGGGAAATTTATAACCCCTCCCCAATGATTGGTTTTAGGTGTGGCAGGAAGGAGGGGGGGAAACATTAACTTGGACCGAGTCATTACTGGGCATCAATGACCAACTAGGACACTTTCAAACTGAAAAGTCTCTTTATTGATCGGTACCATACATGACTCAAATGCCCCCCCCCACCCAAAAAGAAGGCATTACAGTTGGGGTGGGACATCCATGTTCTCTACCTTTCCCCTCAACTCCTGACACAACACCCTCTCAACAGTGGCAGCTGGAGTGGAGGAAACGGTTTGAAGGACCCCAGAAACCAGAGGGAGGAGTAGGGAAAGAGGTGATGCTAACACTTCTGGGACTGGCCACGGGGAAAAGGCAGCAAAGCCACAGAGCTGGGCCTAGACTTATGGGACCCTGCTCTTGGCCTCACCCTGGACCCTGAGCCTTCATGTGTCCATCTGTGAAATGGAGCTGAGGATCCTGGCTGCCTCCTCCTCCCTTCCATGAGGAAGGAGGAAAAGGAGATATTAGGAGATGAAGACCCTCGATTTCAGCTAGGGGAATAGAGGCCTACTTCTTCCTGGTGGGCTTAAAGCTGGGACACCCTCAGTGGCTCCTTCCCCTCTATGGAGGGAAAGGTAGCACTAGATATGCAATTGAGGGGTCAGGGGAAGAGGGTACTGGAACAGAGTGGATGAGCCCCTCCCCATTCCATGCCTGCCCAAATGAGACAAAACAAAAAACACAGTAACAAACAAGGCTGCTTCCTTCCCTCCACACTCCCTAAGGGAGGGAGCCTCCCTCCCTCCCCCACCCAAGACAGCTGCTCTAGTGGAGAACTTGTAAAGAATATACACACCATGGGGGGGGGGTTGAGGGCTGGGGCAGAGGGAGTCACAAGCACTACGAGGGCAGGCTGGAGTCTGGAGAATAAGGAGACAGACAACAGTGCGGGGTTGTCACAAAGAGGGGCAAATGTGGCCATCAATGGCCTCCCCTACCCCACGGCATGCCTTCCCCAACTCATCACCCAAGAGGAAAAGGGAAGAGAGATGGCAAAGTGTCTCCTTGGTCTGAAGCTCTCGAACTGTATAAAATAGTATGCATATCCCCCCACCCCCACTCACTCCCACCTGGGCCCTAGGCCCCCATCTGCCAAGAGTAGGGAGGTAGCTGGACTTTTAATAGGGGGAAGAGGGGATACATGAGTGATTTTTTTAAAAAAAAACTTACATTTTTAATATTATTATTTTTTTAAAAACTTGGAGCTAGGATAGGTAGCAGAAGGGAGGAGGAGCCCAGAGCTTTACCCCTCTACTACCAGCCACCTGGGGGAGGGGTTGGGGGCATTCAACCAAGCCCCATAACTTCAAGTCCCTAAGGGCTGTGGCTGTAGACAACCCCAGGCTTGAAGAGGGTGGAGTCAAGAGGATGGGGAACCCAGTGAGGATGGGGGCAAATGCCCTGGGGGGTGGTCAGGATACTTCTTTTTTTAGAGGCCCAGGATCCACTTGGGCATCTGCATGAGTTCCCCCTTCCCCCAAAAGGCTCTGCAGAGGTCAGGCCCAGCCCAGGGCCACTGTCAGGGCAAATCTTGGCACCTGCCCCTAGAGAGTCCAGTTCCTCCCTGAAGTGGGTGGATGGAGGCTGCCCATTTCAGATGCTCAGTCTCTTCTGTCTTCTGCTCCCTGGGGCTTCAAAGGATGGGGCAGGCAGGCAGAGTGCTCGGTGGCCATGGCAGGGCCTTTACTGGGAGGCCTGTGACGTGGGGTTCTCCGATTTGCTTTCTTGGCTGGACGGAGGCTTGCTGTTCCAGGGGCTGTTGGCGCCCAGTGCGGGGGAGTTGTTAAAGCTGTCCTCGTCGTCAATGCCGTTGGCCGCGTCAAACTGGGTGTTCTCCAGCCGGGTGATGAGCCTCTCGTCCTCGTCCCCGAACTCCCCGCCCATCAGGGTGGGCTCCCCCACCACCATCACATCCTGAGAGTGGCGGAGGTCCCCAAACATAATCGGGGCAGGGGCTCACCTGGCCCAGGGTGGCAGACACCCCCAGAACCCCAGTACCCACCCTGGGAAACTCAACACCCTCCACCCCCTACTCACACCCAAATTTAAAACCCCAACTCCGACACCCTCAGCTCCAGGAATCCTTCCCAATGAAAGACTCCAGAGCCTCACAGCTTTTAGCCTATGTCCAACTAGATTGTGGGAGAAGGCAATCTACTTCCCTCACTCCCTAGCCTGTCTCCCTAAAAAAATTAGGGGGCTTCTAAACTTCTGTCCACATGTAAGAGAAAGGAAGCAGATCAAAAACACAGGTGGGGAAAGTGTGTGCATGTGCCCATGTGTGTCCTACATCCACAAACATTCAAGTCTGTCCTTGCATCAGTGTGTGTGTCTCTGATGGTCTGTGTTTCTCCAGACTGTCTGTCCTGAACGTCCATGTGTTCTCATGGCTGTCTCTGTCCTTTTATGTACTATGTTCCTATGGCTGAATCTCTGTGACCACAGCCACATGTGACTGACAAGGAGTCTCTCGTTAGTGACAGGAGTCAGCCCATGCTGGCAGAGTACAGTGAGAAAAACTGTCTTTGCTTCTACGCCTGTTAGTGAGCTCAGGCTGGGACAGGGGTCAGGGGTCAGGGGTCAGGGGTCAGCGGTGGGGCAGCCCAGAAGAGAGAAGAAAGCCGAGATGCTTACAGGTACCTGGCTGGAGAGGGCGAAGGTGCTGGCTGGGCTCTTCTTCTTGCTGTTGCTGTTGTTGGTGTTGCCACCCCCCGAGCTCATGGTGCTGCCCCCTGACATCTTCCGTTTCCGCCGTTTGCTGGGCTGCTGCCGTGCGGGTTCCGCTGTGCCAGGGAAAGGAGACTCAGGTGGGAGAGGGCCTGGGTCCCCTGTGCCCCATTCTGGCTCTTAAGGAACTGGAGCCTACCCTGCTCCCAAACTTGCAGAACCAGGAGCAAGGGAGGGGCAGCGAGAACTTCATGAGGAGATGAAGATACAGCTTTGGGGAGCAGTGTCAGATCCTGGTAAGAGCAGGCACTCACCTGGGGGTGCTACCATGCGCTGCCACTTCTGGAAAAGGCAGGTCTTGAGGCAGTCACGGGGGCTGAGGCTGTAGGTCTTGTGGCGGGACATGAGCTCCTGCATAGGCTCGAGTATCACACAGAGCTGGGTGGGTAGACCAGGAGGTGGTTCGTCAAGGGAGAGACATGGAGCTGAGACCAATTTGGGATGGGGCAGAGACCGGATAATCAGACTTACTCGGAGGTAGTTGAGAGTGGAATTGGACAGCCCACACCGGGTGATGTTTTTGGAGAGCTGATCCAGCATCTGGGGGTCCTGGGCCTGGGGGGAGAATGACAAGAATACTGGCACCAGGACTGCATCTGATCATCTACCCTATCATCTAAGCATCATGATGCTCCTGAGAGAGAAGAGGGGCAGAGGCTATTGTTAAACCCATTTTTCAGATGAGATGAAGAGACCCTACCCCTCTGTTTAAAGTCGCAGTCAGGAAATGTCAGACCTTATCCCACCCTGTCTGCTGTCTGCCCTTACCATTGTGTCTTGGGTCCTGCCCACAACTCACATGCATGGCAAGGATGCTGCGGGGGATGAGCTCTCGGTGTTGCCGAATGCTGAAGTGCCATGTCTTTATCCGCATCATGTCGTCAAACATGAACTCCAGGTACAACCGGCCCTCGACACACACCTGGGGACAGGCTTGTCACAACCCTGCCCCCTGCCCATATACCTGAAAGTGTGCCTGTTACAGTCTCCCTCATTTGCTCATAACTCTCCCACTGCACACACTACTGCCACCTGCACACAAATAAGGGTACATAACTGTCACAGCATCCCCCCAGTATAGCTATCACAACTCTGGCCGTTATACACACACACACACACACACACATACACATTAGAAATGCTTAATAGATCCTTGTCTTCCCCCATGCAGTTAATGATACACCCATGTGCTGTAAGCTCTTTGAGGGCACTCTTGTTCACTGGTGTATCCCTGGTGCCCAGAAAACTAGGTGCTCAATAAATGCTTGCTGTATGTTGCAGCATGCCTGCCTTCCCTTCTCATTTTGCCACTTTCCTGTTATACCTTCTGAGGGACAGCTGTGAGTACACTTTGAGAGAGAAGAGGGGAAGCAAATCCAGGTGCCTCACTGTCCCACCTCTAGCTGGGCTGCTGACCTGGGTGAACATGGGTTTGCCATGCTGGGTCACCATGCTGCCCTGGTCACAGTCGAGGGACACAAAGTTGCTGTGGAATGCTTCCTTGGGGTGCTTCAGCACATAGTACAGCTCCGTGGCACCCCCCTCAAAGATGCTGCGGAAGTAGCGTGGGATCAGGGTCCGGCCAATGGCTGTAGAGATACGACAAACTCTTCAGGACAGAAGGATCTCAAAAGGGGCAGATACCTTCCCTGTCAAGACAGATCCTCAGAATAATTTACCCACTCCCAGATCTTAGAAGTACACAGAAGTATGCACTCTCACAGCCGGACTGACAGGATCCCCAGGCCCACAAGGGGCACCCAGAGGCCACTCACTATATCTCTTTGGTCCATCCTCCAGGCAGAAAGTGATGGTTAACATGGCGTCATCCTCAAAGAACTCAGTCGTGAAAGCATCCCACCAGAGATTGTCACACTCCTGGGGATCACGGGGAGGGGTATATGTGTCACAAGACACCCCACAAGGGTGCCCAGGTGGCCCTCCCCCTCCCAGCCCCTTTTCCCTTGGCCGTACCTCTGTCCAGTTCTGAAGCCGTTTGTTAAGCTCGAATATTCTATAGTCAGTTTGGTTGCCATATGGTGTGTGCCTCCTGAGGGGAGTGAACGAGGGAGGTCAGTAGAAGTAATGCCTCCCCATCTGCCCTCTACCCCTGTAATGGAAAGCAAAGCATTTCCCTCGCCACTGGACTCTACTTACCCTATCCCAGGCTCCAGGTATGTAGGTGGGTACATGGGAGTTGGGCTGTGTAAGAGAAGAGGCCATGAGAATGGGGATGGAAGACAGGAATTATTGGGGGTCATTCCCTCCCCCTTTCAGACAGGATCCCGTCTGGAGAAGGGCTGGGAAGTGGGCAAAAGACTCACCCCACATCCCGATCCAGCATGGTGCCGGGATGAAAGGGGGGGAAGGCGTTGCCGTTCGGGGGCTCCTTCGGCGAGTACAGCTTGAATGACTTTGAGGAACAACCTAAGAGGGAAAGGAAAAAGGAATCCCCTGAGCCCCTCTCAGGAGGTCTTCTGGAAGCCTGACAGACTGTGTAGACAGGGACTGGTCTTACAGAGCTCCCAGGCCAGATGACAACAGGAGAGGGGTGGACTGGGGGAGGGAAGCGACTCTAGGGAGCACCTATCTCTGCTTCTCAATCTCTCTCCAATCTTGTTTCAGAAACTGGGAGTATCAGCCCTGATCCCACCCCATACTCAAGACCCCCTTTCTTGACATGGCTGATCCCTGGATATCAGAAAAGGAAATGAAGCTGGGAAGAAATGTCTGTACTAGAAGAGAATAAATAACATCTAAACATTAGAATCTAATTTTGATAAACCTCTTTTTTATCTACATTATTTTGTTCAATCATCACAACAACCTTGTGAGGTCACAGGGTTGACTGTATCATTATTCCCATTTTACAGATGAGGCAACTGAGGACTCAGAGGGACTTGCCAAGATCATAGGGCTGGAAACTGCAAGAGCTAGGACTTTAGCCCAGATCTTCTGATTGCCATATCCTATACTATTTCTACCATCCAACCCTTCTACTGTCCTCTAGAGACCAAGTTTGAGGGGAGGTGGAAAGGGGGGGTTGCCAACTCCTAGCCCCTCCTCTACTCTCAGGGTCTCAGGAGGGCAGGGGAAAGATAAGGGGGGGGGTGGGTGCTGTTGGGTGCCGCCCACCAGATAACCAGTTGGGCCTTCTGCCTCCCCCACCAACTGCCACTCCCTTATCAGCCCAGCCCCCTTCCCCACACCCACCTTGGGTAGAGTATTGTCTCCAAGCCAGTAACCCAAAACCTCAACCCCTTTTCTCTTTTGAGACTTGCAGTGGGGGAGGGAGGTAGATGAGCCCCCACTGGATCCCACCCTACTTACAAATGGAAAATAGGAGGCCTGGGATGGAGTCTAGGAAGAAGCCTAGGTTTAGGAGGGAGAGGAGGAGGTGAGAGGCCCAGTCTAGGAGGCAAGTGGTAACTAACAGAGGTCTCTGCTTCTGTGTATCTGAGCATGTGTACATGTGTCCCCTCTTCCCCCTCAATCAGTGACACAGTTTCTGGTGTACAATTTCCTGATTGGAAGAAATGTTACATTCATTGTTAGGTATGAGCCAGTTACCCCCGCAACTCCATTTTTCCCCTCCCCACCAGATAAGAGAGGGAAACTGAGGCACAGCCCCAAAGGTTCTGATCCTAGTCATATCTGTTTCCTCATGTCCCCAAAATTTGGTTGCACTGGAAGGGCACCCTTATCAGGTGTATCTAAGCCCCTTCCCAATATGGATACAAAATCTATTTTGTTCTTTGGGAGGAAGAGACAAAGGAAGACCCTGTGCCAGCAAGTGTCATTTAATTCTCTCCCCAGGGGCCCCTCCTTACAATGTGGGCAAAAGGAGGGTCCCCAGGGGGGGGTCACACTTCACAGTTGCTGAAGGTGCCAAGAGTCAGCTTGTGTGTGCCTGCACATGCGTGTGCCTCATCCTGCCTAGCAGGCTTCCACCCTCAGCTCGCCCCAACATGCCTAACAAGGGCTGGAACCCAGCAGCCCCAGGGAAGATCGGGGTGGCAGCAACAAGCCCTCACCCCATGCATAAGCTCTCACAGGCCACATCCAACAGCACAGCACACACAGCCTTCACATGCCAGTGTGGGCTGAATGAAAACTGTTGTCCTCAGGAAAGAGACAGTCCCCACCTTGTCCTCAAGTGTCCTCACTTCACAGATAGGCAGACTAAAGGTACACAGGAAGCCAAAGCTCACACAGCCCACCAGAGGCCAGGCCTGGGCAACGAACCTAAGAGTCTAGATTCCCAAACCTGGCCCTCATCCCCTAACCAGGCCACTGTTCCCCAAAACCATAACTGCCCCTGGCCCCTCAGTTTCAGGGCCACTTGAAGAAATGTGTCAACTCAAGACTCTAAAGAGAAGAGAAGCTGGACACCTGGGTTTCTCTTCAATTCTGAAAAAAGTCACAAGGCCTCAGTTTCTCTCTCTAGGGAACGGACAGGACTTGCCTGGGACTGGGTAATAGTTCTGAGGAGCTAAAGCCCAAAGCTCTGGGGCCTTTGTTTACACTTCCAGTGAATGGACACAAACTCAGGATCTCTCCAGAGCCTTAGCAACTCCCAGGTGCCCCAAGGGCGCCAAGGGCTAGGGAGTGAGAAGGGGTGGGAACATCATCCAGACCATCTGTCCCTGCTGCTGCCGGTCCCCAGTAGCAAGGGTAGAGGGAGCAAGTTAGGGGATGGGGGTAAAAGGAAAGTGTCATCCAGCTTTGGAACCAGACATAGCCCCCTCCCTCCCACTGGCTAGCAAACTAGGGGCCCTTAGGAAGGGGGAGAAGAGAACTAGAAAAGTTTTCTCAGTATGGAAGCTACATTCTGGGGCTGAGGGGGGCACCTCCAGCTGGGCATTTCCATGGTAACCAGCCTGACCTGTGGGCAGGCCCCCTCCTTTTGGGGCTGACCATAGGTCAGTAGGCCTGGGTGTCCCCAACTCTCTGAGCCAGGGCACCTCTTCCCTGGCCAGCATACTAGGCCTGGGCCAGAGTAAGGACCTTCCACCCACCCCAACAGGCTTGCAGGGTGCCCAGACTTACCTGAGAGAACTGAGGGGGCCAGGAGAGGTGCGGGGAGCGCTGGCAGCCCAGAGGGGCCCTGGCAGGGGCGAGGACTGGAGGGGAGGGCCCAACTTCAGCCGCTCATGTCCCGAGTGGGACAGGCAGGCCTGGCTGGGAGCTCCACTCCGCGGGCCGCACAAAGACTCGCACGCACAGCCTCCGCCCGCCCCGCGGCGGCCACAGCCCCGGGGGAAAGTTACAATGGCCACTAGGCCAGGGGCCGGGGGCCAGGGGGCCGACCTGGGGGGCGGGGGGCCGCGGGGAGGCCGGAGCCTTCTTTGTTTGCAAGGTTTCCCTCAACAATGGCTGCTCCGCTCTTTCCTCTCTCCTCCTCGGCTCTCCCGCCGCCGCCTCTAGCTGCCTCTGCCTCCGAGCAGCCCGCCCGCCCTCCCCAGGCCACTGGGCCCCTCTGCTGTGGCCACCAGGAGAGACAAGGCCCGCACTCACACTCACTCGCACACTCAGACGCACACACAGCGCCCGCCGGCTCCCTTCCTTTTCTCCCTTTCTCTCCCTCCCAGCTCGCTAGCTCTCCGCGAGTCTCTCTCAGAATGAGGCCCCAGGGCGGGCGGAGGGTGGAGCTGCCCCCACCGGCCCCGCCCCCTCCCTGCGAGAAGGAGGAAGAAGGAGCGAGGGAGGGAGACTAGGAGGGAGGGACCGCTGAGAAAAACAAAAGAGAGACAGAGACTGGGAGAGACGGGGACAGAGAGATATAGACAGAACAGACTGGACGAGGACAGACCTGGATGGGCCAGGAATGAAATGCAGCCCCCTCCGCCAGCTCCCGGCGTGGTGCTCAGGGGTGAGCAGGGGAGCCAAAGCCTTAGGCAGGGGTGGTCGAGGGTGCCGTCTTCTCCGCAGACCCCAATATATTCAAATTGTCCCTCAAACCTGCCCCAAACCTCTTTCCCCTCTCCTCCGTGATCTCTCAGGTTGAAGGCTGGTCTGGACTGCCACCCTGGGCTTTGGCCTCTGGTGAAATCCCAGAGCAGCTGAGGGGAGGCTCCAGGGGGGTATTTTTGACAGAGACATATTCTGACTTCAGCCAGTAAACATTGATTAGAGGGAGGGGGACACTCTAGGCTTCCCTGCCCCCAACCCAGCTAAGTTCCCTGCCCTGACCCAGATCCCCCTTAACAGGAAGCCCTCTTCCCCACCACCACCAATGAAGACACATGCATGGCGGGGAAAGGGGCGCTGTCACAGCTTGGGAAGGCAAACGTGCCTGTAGGGTCCAGTCTGCTGCAGAATTCCCCCACATACACCCTGGGGGAAAAAGGTATGTGGTTAGTGGGGTAGAGTCTGTTCTCCAATGCAATGGGAGATGTTTCTAAAACTTGGATAGTGGTCCAGACCCTACTACTTGGACAGATAGGGAAAGGAATTGAAGATACACAGACACACACAGACACACACAGACACACACAGACACACACACACACACAGACACACACAGACACACACAGACACACACACACAGACACACACACACACACACACACACAC